TATTTGACTATGTATGTCTTTATAATATGTACATCGTCAGAATTTCTCCACATCTCTTTCATACATATGAATTATAATTCAAGTTACTACCTAAAGAACATTTTCCAAAATGCCATAATTTTGTTTACATTCAAGTACTTTAGTCACTATGTTCATTTAACCCATTTTTACTTTTTACTTCACTTTCAGTGTCAGGAAGAAATGACCTTCATCAGAGTCAGTCCATTTCTGGGAACCTGGACCCTGATGTGAAAGACGTTGTTATTAATTTCCAAGCTTACTGTTGTATTCTCCAGGATTGCTTTCCTGTACATCCCCCATCAAGAAAACCGATTCCCAAGAAGCGACCAGCCACATATAAGTATATAGGCCTTTTGTAGTTGATACCCTCCAATATCTCTTAACATAATCCTTTTCACATGTCACTCCTGGGTGAAACAATAATGCTTTACTTCTGCACAATGTCTTGTAGGTTACAAAGTACTTTCACACTCATTGCTTTGCTTGAGCCTTACAAAAACCTTCATAAGAAAATGAAAAAGTCTTACAAAAATTACATGTGAAAGTTATCGGTAACCTCACAGTTGCAGAATGTTAGACTTAGATTATTAGACCTGGCCCAATTCCCTTATTATATAGATGAGAAAGCTGACACCCAGTGAACATAGGTGCATTACCTGAGATCACAGAGCTCACTGATGCATATCCAGTACAGCACCAGAAACTAAGTCTCCTTGAGAATCCAATGCTTTCTTAGCAGGTGCTGTCTCTAGAATAACCATCGTGGGCAAATTTCATAATAGAACTTAGTTAATTTTCTTTCAAATATATTTTAATTCTTCTAGTTAAAAACAATATTTCTACCTTTGTAACTTATGTAGCTCTTTACCTTTATTTCTCATGTGAAGCATCACTTTCTACCTTGTATTAGAGTAATTACTGGACATGATGGTACTAGTACATTCAGTATTAGTCTTTAAGACCCTGAAAGGCATCATCCTGATTTGATGTATATTTGCATCCCTTATGGACAATACTACTGATAAAAAATCATGATGATGCTAAAAGCTAACATTTAGTGGGCACTGAATAGCCCACTACTGTGTAGCAAGTACAACTCAATGATAATTATTAGATGAATTACATTTCAAAATAAATAGATACTGTAGCAGTTATTGTACAAAAGAACAAAAATTGAATTTGTTTGTATATTCATTAAACCACTAAAAAAATTACTGAGTATCCACTATGTGCCAGGCATTTTTGATTCAATTATAAACAACATAGATGTGATCTCTGATCTCATTATACTCATATTCAATCCAAAGAGATGACAAAACAAGCAAATAAACAAACAAAAAGGTAAACAGAAGATAAAGTATGTAAGTGTGAGTTGCAATAAATGTTATAAAAAGAATGGATATGGGGCTTGGACAGAGAGCAATATGTCAGGGACAGCCTTTGGGTGGGGTGGTTAGGAACACCCTTAAGGAGGGGTTATTCCAACTGCAACCCAAAGGATGAAGAAGAGCTTGCTGAGTGAAGGGTGGGAGAGACCTAGG